TGACTATAATATTATCCTTACAAGATACGTGAGGTGAATAGTAGGTCATTCAGTCTGGGAGTATTATGGAGAGATGGATTGGGGATGGGGTGGGATGCTGATTAACTCTAGAGTTACTTAGAGGTAACTCTAAGGGTCTAATGCCACAGAGGACATTTAGGCATCATTATCACTGGGTGGAGATGGATATTCAGAGAGGTCTCTGGGGTTTAGGAAGAGAACAATTCTAAAACTACTACACTTGCAATGCCACATGAGCACGTAAAAGAAGAGCTTGACATCTCCTCCCATGGACCAGATTACAGACGCCCTTTCAAAAACTTCTTTCTGGGGTGCCTGGGTGGCTCAGTCAGTTAAGCGCCTGCCTTCAGCTCAGGTCAGGAGCTAGGGGTTCTGGGATCGACCCTACATTGGACTCCCTGCTCAGTGGGGAGTCTGCTTTTCCCACTCCCTCTGTCCCTACCCACCCTGCTCATGCTCTGTCTCTGCCTCTCTCAAATAAATAAATGAAACCTTATTAAAACAAAACAAAACAAAACAAAACAAAAACAAAAAACCTTCTTTCTTAGCCATCACATCTCAACCCCAGAAAAGGTAAGTTCAGTCCTTCAAAAAACCTGATCTTCCTCCATCCTTATCCATTGCAAGCTTTCTTTGACTTCCTCTTCTTCTTCATTCTCTTTCTCTTCCTCTCCCCAGCATCACTGCAAGTGTTTCTGAAAGGAGAAGGAGGAAAAGGCGGAAATGGAGGAGGAAAAGGCAGGTGCAGGGTCATCTGCACAGAGTGACCAGTAAAGAAAAGTCTGCTTTTCTTTCTTCTCCTGGTCTCATTCTGGGGGCATTCAGAGAGTTAACAGTTACTGAGCACTTACAGTGTTCCAGCTTAAGTTTCTCTTCATTTTCTTATCTTTGTTTAATTCTTGCCGCCATCCTCTGCAGAGTGACCAATATTATCCTCACTTGGCATTTGAGGAGCCAGAGCCTTCGAGATGTAAGAGCTTGTATAATGTCACACACCGTATAATCATCAATCTATGTGCATCTCGATTGCTACTTCCTCTATGATCAAGACTCCCAACCTTTGGTAGAAAGTAACACCCCTCTCTGGGCTTCCACAGCACTCAGTTTCCCTTTTAAGAACATGCTTTGTTTGGCTTCCTGTGGTAATTTGCAAACCTCTATACATCTTTACTCTGTGAAGGTATTGACTATGTCCTATTTAGGTATGTCTTCAACGTCAGCACAATATTTGGTATGGGACATGGGCAATAAACACTAGGTGAGAGCAGAATGCATCTGGGAGTGAAGGAGGGTATGCTTAAATAGCTGACTATTTCATTTAGCAATTTATGGTCTCAAGTGCCAAGGAAGCTTCTGAGTAAAGGATTTGATATCTGGAAACTTGTTTTAAACTTACAAGTTCAGGGGCGCCTGGGTGGTTCAGTAGGTTAAAGCCTCTGCCTTCGGCTCAGGTCATGATTCCAGGGTCCTGGGATCTAGCCCCGCATCGGATTCTCTGCTCAGCGGGGAGCCTGCTTTCTCCTCTCTCTCTCTGCCTGCCTCTCTGCCTACTTGTGATCTCTCTCTGTCAAATAAATAAATAAAATCTAAAAAAAGTAAAATAAAATAAACTTACAAGTTCAATTAATTAAAGATATCCACTGTAGAGGAAGGGGCTGGGGCACCAACCAAGCAGCCTGTGCTGGAACTGGGTTTTAAAGGCTCTAAATTTGGGGAAGATGTTATACTAGCAGCTGTCCAAAATAAGAAGAGCTAGCAGAATCAGTCCAGAAATAGCGAGTTGATTTTGTCTCACGTATCTCATCCACTGCAAATGGTAATGATTGCTGGAGGAGCTCAACTGGGAATGATCTGAGACAGCATCCAGCCAGCAGGAACAGAGTACCATGTTTGACTAGCAATGCCTACCCTGGGTAAGGGAAGGGGAGGGAGGGTTGTAGCCTAAAGAGGTAATAGGGAGATCAGGCCTAGGAATATCCACAAATACCATCTCATGGGGTCAGAGCTATTGAGAATCAGATGAGGTATCCAGGTGTGTATGACTGACTTAATGTATCAGGAATCAGGGTGAGCAGAAAGCATGTGCTAAGAAGGACAACAGAGCCAGGCAGAACACAACCACAGCCTCTGCACCTCAGACTTGCATATCCCAGGGCCCACCTCAGAACTGTGAATTCAACGCCTCACATGGAGAAGCATGGCAGCATCAATGAGGACATAATGAAATTAGTTCAGTTAGCTTTAGTAGGTGTAAATAGATTAGATCCTGTGGAGAACTAGGCTGATATTCATTTAAATTAATTCCAGATGAGAAAATAGAAGTAACAGAAAACAACACAATGCTCTTATTGCAAAACTCAGTCTTGTGTTATCCTTTAGAGACATAAATGTTTTTAAATAAATGTAAGAATAGAAAGTCCACGCCAGAATTCAAATAATTTGCTATCACTTGGTTTGAGATCACAATGATTAATATTTTGAATACATACAAGTTAGCTCATGAAATGTGCTTCTTTTGAAACCTCTATTCTCAAAACTAATATTTTTAAGGAGAGTAATTTTGCTTTAATTGGAGTTGTTAACCTCAAAACATTTGAAGACTTGTTCTTGAAGAGGAAATATAATTCATTGCAAAGATATTGGTGAAATGAGCATATTTTCATTGCTAGGTTGGAAACCCTTATATAAATAAGCATATAAGTGTAGGACTACCAGTCAAGGTAGAAATTGCTTGTTGTACTGTCCTCAGTTGGACACTAACCAGAGTTTAGATGTTATGATTCTCCATTGTAACCAAAGGAGTTAAAAATTCTGGCTTTCTTGTGTTACAAGTAAAGATAAGTTTCTCCTTTCTCATGGTTCCAATCATCCTAGTAAATGTGTCTTCCTTTTAAACTGTAGACTATTTATCAAGGTTTCCACAATTTCACCCAACTGGACTGTGCAGAGTCACAGAAAGCCAAGGAATGGAGCTGTTTCATGAGGGAAAGCAGAGGAGAAGATAAGACATGGGGAAGAAAAGTGGGTGGGTGGTGATGGGGTATTCGGTAGGGCTGGATTCTATACCTGTGCCTTTGGTGCTGTGTACATTCTAAGATATTGGTTCTTTCTGTAACTTTATTTTTTTTAAAGATTTTATTTATTTGTTTGTCGGAGAGACAGAGAGAGCACAAGCAGGGGGAGCAGCAAACAGAGGGAGAAGCAGGCTCCCTGCTGAGCAAGGAGCCCAATGCAGGACTCAATCCCAGGACCCTGGGATCATGACCTGACCCAAAGGCAGATGTTTATCTGACCGAGACCCCCAGGCATCCCAACTTCTTATAACTGTAAAATAAACTTTTTTTCTGTTAGAAAAATGAGACCTGTTTATTGTATTAAAATTTTTAATAAAAATATAGGAATGCAAAGAAAACTACAATCATGTAACCATATGTGGCTACTGAATAACTTAGGCATATAACTTTCCAGTCTTTAAATGTATATAATACATATAGTATGTATAATAAATCATACTGTATATACTGATTTTTAACCTATTTTTAATTTGAAATGTATCATAAGTATCTTTCTATGTCAACAAATATTTAATATACTAGGTTTTCAATCTCTGGATATAACTCCATTGAGTTAATGTACCACAAATTACTTAACTATGCACTTGCTAGCAGTTAGTTATACCAGTTTTCACTATTATAATTGTTATAATAAATGTCTCACAGCAAAATCTTTGTGCAGGTGCATGATTAGATTATTAGAATACATTTTTTAAAGTGGATCACCTGTTCCAAAGGGTAGGTGCTTTCTTCTTTTCTACCATTTTATTTATTTATTTTTCCTTTTAAGATTTTATTTAAATTCAAATTAATTAATATATAGTCTATTATTAGTTTCAGGGGTGGACTTTAGTGATTCATCACTTGTATATAACACTCAGTGCCCATCCCAACAAGTACCTTCCTTAATGCCCATCACCCATTTACTCCACACCCCACCCACCTCCCTTCTAGTAACTCTCAGTTTACTCCCTATAGTTAAGGGTCTCTCATGATTTTCCTCCCTCTCTATTTTTATCTTATTTAATTTTTCCTTCTCTTCCCCTAGGTTCATCTGTTTTATTTCTTAAATTCCACATATGAGTGAAATCCTATGGTATTTGTCTTTCTATGACATATTTCACTTAGCATAATACCCTCTGGTTCCATCCACATCATTCCAAATAGTCAGATTTCATTCCTTTGATGGCTAAGTAATATTCCATTGTATATATATATATATATACTACATTTTTTTATCCATTCATCAGTCGATAGTTGGGCTCTTTCCATATTTTTGGCTATTGTGAATATTGCTGCTATATACACTGGGGTGTAGATGCCCCTTCAAATCTCTATTTTTGTATCCTTTGGCTAAATGCCTGGTAGTGAAATTGCTGGGTCACAGGGTAGTTCTATCTTTAACATTTTGAGGAACCTCCATACTGTTTTCCAGAGTGGCTGCACCAGTTTGCACTCCTACAAATAGTGTAAGAGGGTTCCCCTTTCTCCACCTCCTCACCAACATCTATCATTTCCTGAGTTGTTCATTTCAGCCATTCTGACTGGTATGGGGTGGTATCTCACTGTGGTTTTGATTTGTTTTTCCCAAATGGTGAGCACTTTTTGAATACTTTTGAAATATGACTACACCAAATATGAAATATTTGACTTTTGAAATATGACCCACCAAAAAAAGCTGTGAAATTTAATACACTAAGCATTTCACTGCAATCTCACCAAAACTGAATTTTTTGCCGTCTTAAAAAAAGTTATTTTACCAGTCTGATAAAAGGAAATGGCACTATATTTCCCTCTTAATTTTCATTTTCTGTGTGCCTTTTTAAAGGTCTATTTGTACATCTATTCTTAGTTTCCCATGCCTGCCTGTCTAGAACTCACACTGAAGAATGTGGCCACGGCTGACCTAGCTTGGAGGTTTCTCACCTCCTTTCCTCGTGGAAAAGCGAATTCTTCCTGATGAGGTGAACAATGCCCATGTGCAAACTTCAAAGCTGAATGGATAAAGAGAGATAAGTTATTACCTACAAAATCCTGGCATGGCTAAAAGACATTCTGAAGATTCGTTAGGGAGAAGACAGATGAGGCTGTAAAAGTTCTTTCTCTCAGAGAGGCCCCCAGCTTGGATTTATTGCCACAGACAATGAGAGGTTACTTACGGTCAACCAGATAGATGGCCTAGAGGGCAGATGGCCACCACTGCCACCAGAGAGGTTCAGACTTCATTAACAATCCTGGTAGCATTGGGTGAAAAAGAAACAGCAAAAGCTCATTCTCATTGGCACAGACAGGAGAAAATCACAGAAGTCCACTCAGTATCTCCAGGGCCCACTAATTTCTCTACAAAGTGGCTGAACATCTGCTTGAACCAATAATCTAAAAAAGGCAGGGAAAAAAAAGAGAGAGAGAAAGAAAAAACACATTCCCTGTCATTTCACCTGAGAAGCCATACCTTGCTGGAAAAAATTAACACAGGAGCAGGTCCATTAGGCTTAGCTCAGTCCCCAGTACCACAGAGGAGTCCCATGGACTTGCCCACACTATCCCCCCAAGTGGCTGGGGATGAAGGAAAACTCAGAAGTCAGAGTCCCTGGGTTTGAACCTTCCTTTACCATATCCTATAGCTGAGGTCATGGACAAGTTATCCCCTCCTCTAAACAGTTTTCTCAACTATAAACTTAATGATACTTTTCTCATAGTGTTTGCTGTGAACTGAGTTGTGTCCCTCCCAAATTTATTATCTTGAAGCTGTAACCCCAATGTAACTGTTTTTGGACATAAGGACTTTTTAGACGTAGTTAAGGTTAAATGAGTAATAAGAGTGAGATCCTAAGCTCACAGGATTGGTAACCTTATCAGAAGAGGAAGAGTTCTCTCCCTCTCTTTAACCATGCACATGCACCAAGGAAAGGCCATGTGAAGACACAGTGAAAAGATGGCCAGCTGCAAGTCAGGAAGAGTGTCCTTACCAGATCCCAACCATGCTGGCATGCTGGTCTTGGACTTCCACCCTCCAGAGCTATGATATATAAATGTCTGTTGTTGAAGCCACCCAGTCTCTGGTGTTTTCTTGTGTCAGCCCAAGTTGACCAAGATTGTGTTGGTAGGGGAGAACTAAATCATATTTTGTTTAGGAAATACATATCACTTCTTAAGTATTCAACAAAGCTTACATTTCTTATTTTCTACCCCCTATCCTCCTCATAACCCTGTCACCAAGATATCTGCCCAGCATGTATCAGAGTTTCCAACACTATAATTTATTCTGTTCCTAGCACTTCATACTCCTCCTCTGACCTTAATGTTTCTATCCTCATATTAATAAATAGTCTGAATTTCTGAATGTTCCCTCTTCTTGGCCATTTAGTTTTTATGTTCTTAATGCTGAATCGCACTTGATCTTGACTAATGAATTTGTCATTGGTAAGAAAAGACGTCTAGTACCTTAGAACAGTGCCTGGCACATAGAGAACCCTGTAAATGTAGTTATTGTCATTATTATTATCCAGCATCGTGACATTATAATTAAACTATTTTTCTTTGCTTTGCTACCTTTCAATAAGTGTAGGCATGGTTAGTTATATTTTCCTCCAAATTAACAGCTGAAACAAGAATGTGCATGCTAGCTGTGGCCCTTTGGTGTGTGTATGGGGTGGGGGAGGGGTGGGAGAAAAAAAATTCCTTTTTGGATTACAAGATATCACAGACCAGGAGAAACTTGATACCAGGACCCATCACCAGAGCAAGTGAGAATCTGAATAGAATCCAATAATCCCTCTCCAGTCCTCAGCTTTGCCCTCCATTTGCCTGGAAGAGAAAAATAATCCATCAGAGATATCTAAGACTCATGAACAGAGGGAGCACAGACATGGGACACAGGACAAACAGCTGTAGATGTAGTCAGTAAATGCTGAGGCAGGACACCAGACTCTTTAGAAACTCCTTGCCACATATTTTGGCAAAATCCTAGTTGATGTCTTGAGGATGAATCTCATCTGCTGTGTCTCTGCGTCTCCACTCAGAACTACTGAGTACCCAGTAAAAGAGCAGGGGTTCTGGTGAAAAAGAAGTGTGTTGATGGGAGCCAGCAGAGACATTGGCAGTGTCATTATGAGAGTGTCTATGATGTTTTGAAGCAAGGGAGATAGACCCAGGGTGCAGAGTCAAGAGCAAATCCCCAAAAGGGACATCAGACTGGTTGGCCTAAGTAGAGATTAGAGAGAATAGAGAGGGGTAGACAGCAAAGGAGTTGGAAGCCCCACACAAGAGCATACCTCAAATTGCTCAGGGTTGAAATCCATGTGGGCTAGGCATCCACTGGGACATTTCTTCTCTTTAGTACTCAGTGCGTATTATCAGGGCAGTGTGCCTTCAAGTCATATTAGGGAAGCCATATTGCCTAATGGGTGAGAGAGTTAGATCTGAGACAAGACTAAGTTCCTATCTCAGCAAAGATACTAAGCAAATTACTCAACTTGTGCCTTGATTTCTTTGTATATAAAAGAGGGCAAAAGATAGCATACAACTAATAGGGTTGTTTGTGAGAATTAAATAAAGTACAGGTAATGTACTAATTCCAGATTAGAGCATGTACTTAATATGTGTTCTTCCTGTTCTCCTCCTTCTCCTCCTTCTTATAATCATCATTACCATCATCTTCATCAGCTCAAATATCTCTAGGTCCTAACAGGGAGGATAGCTAATTAAGAACAAGGTTTATAATCTTGCCCTTATTCAGAACATCAGTTCTGTCATCTAGCTCTCACTTTTCAAATATGTACCAATGTGGCATTTTGATATAGCCTACAAATATAAGTACCAATTGTTGTATACCTACTTTATATAAGATATATATATATATCCTCTATATGTGTATGTATATATATGTATATATATATATACGTATATATATGTATATATACATATACATGTACATATAAAATCACATTTAGTCTTCAAAAAAATGTAAAAAGAAATGCCATTATTTCCTCTAGAGTAGGGGCCAAGAAACAACAAATTGCTGTCCAAATCCAGCCCGCTGTCTATTTTAAAAATAAAGTTTCATTACACAGCCATACCAGTCATTTACGTATTAGCTATAGTTATGTTCATGCTACAGTGGCAGGGTTGCTTAGTTGAGATAGAAGTTTTCAGAAAAAGTTTGCTAATTCCTCCTCCAAAGAGATAAAGACATTGAGATTCAAAAATAAATGTAGGGTCCAGGATCATGCAGTAAGCCTCAGAGAAAAGATTCAAACCCAAGTCTGCCTGTCTTCAAGCTCAGGCTCTCAATCACTATTATACAGTCTCCAAAGTTACTGGTTTTAATGGAAAGGCCAAGAGGAAGTCTCTAAGGCTTGATGAAATAAGCAGATGGAGCTTTGAACATCAATCAGTCATCTAAATATCCGACATCAGGCCCATGAGTCAACAGCATTTCCCGCCATTGCCACCCACTACATAGCCTGGCTGTCTTCAATCATCTTGCCAAATGTCAGGCAACATGGAGTGAGCTCAAAGCACATATTTCCCCTTATGCCCACTGTATTGCTCCAGCAGCACGGTTCTTTCTTTTTGGTGTCACATCAAAGAGATTCCTACTAGTGGTCCTTCTGCTATAGCTGATACATTTTCTGATTTGGGGTTAGTCAGCAGTATTTTTACTTTCACATGAGTATGCCCATATGTGGACAGGAAGAAGAGGGAAAAAGAGAGAGGACGATTCCAGTTGGGTCTCAACATGGTCAGTTATATCAGTTTAGCTTTAGATTAAATTGTCCAGGATTGACAGCAACGTCTTGGAGCTGAAGCTAGAAAGTCAGCAAGCTATATTGGAACGAGATCTGGGCCATGAGTTCAAACAGTGTCTCTTGAACTTAAGAATTATCAGGAGAGCATTTTTTAAAGATCTATTTATTTATCTTACAGAGAGAGTGAATGCACATACACATGCATGCACACAAGAGGGGGGGAGGGGCAGGAGAGAATCCTCAAGCAGATTCCCCACTGAGCACAGAGCCAATGTGGGGCTAGAGCTCATGACCCATGAGATCATAACCTGAGGAAAAACCAAGAGTCAGATGCTCAACAAACTGAGCCACCCAGACACCCCAGGAGAGCATGTTAAAACATCAGTTCCTGGGTTCTGTCCCCAGAGACGCTGACTTTATAATAGGCCCAGAATTTCTATCAAGCTCCCAAATGATGCTGAGCCACATTTTGCAAAGCACTGAGCAAAAATGAATTGACTCTGGCCAGTGGCATGCTATCTGAAACCTGAGCAAGTTGCTAAAACTTCCTGGGCTCTACCTTCCTCACCTGAAAAAATGAAGCTGATAAACTAATAATCAATGCAAGAGGAGACTAACTCAGAAGTTGTTTTAATATTTACTAATAATGAGAATTAGAATTTCCTGAATAATTCTTCAGTACATTGCCAAACACTGTACTAGGAACTTTAACAACCACATATTATCTCTGAGATCTTCATAAGAACCTGCCAAAAGAGAGGTATTATCATCATTCAACAGGCAAGGACTCTAAAGAGATACCTTGTCTAATATCCACAGCTAGGAAGTACAAACCCTGCAATTCCAACCCAGATTTGAATGTCACCAAAGCATGCTTTTAAATCCCCCAAATAGGCATAATTAGTCTCCTAGCTCTACCTGAAATTGTTTGTGTGCCAACTCCTACCCAGTGTGCAGGAGAAAGTTGGAGCTCCTGACTAGAGGTAGCAGCCACAGCCCTCAGCCATCAGGCAAGTAAAAACTGCTTCCCCACTTGCCCTCTGTTGATGATGCTATTTGATGGAGTGTTGAGACCAGTGATTAACCACTCTTGAAAGCAATCATTCCATCCTTTATCCTTCAATGACCAGCAGCAGGGGTGCCTAGGGCTGAGAGAGCTTGCAGTCAAGGGTGGGGAGGAAAAAAAAAAAAAACAACTTTCAAAATCCAGGGAGCTCAAATGAACACCTCTTGAGAAAATATATTTCAGAATTAAACGTTTAATGCTGGGTTTTCACTTTGTAACAGCAATGGGCTGTGGAAACAAGTGCCAAAGAGCAGGAGGAGACTTGCAGCGACCCTCTCCAATAACAGAAAATTATTTGTTGCTTCCTAAAGTGGTATTTGAGCCCAGCGGGCTGCACTTAAGATGTGACTGGATAATGGCTGTGTGACACACCCCTCTAATGGAGCTGTCACACAGATACTGCCGAGCAGCCTGAGCTGTGGCTTTGTGCTGTTTAGGATGATGGTGATTCCCCTGGCTACTTTAGTAACTTTAGGGAATATTATGGTGAGGTTCCAGGAAAAGGAACCCCTCTCATTTAATGCATGGGATATCAGAGAGCAAAATCCAACTACATCACCAAAGCCACAGATAGAGACTTTGTGGGGATATTGAGTGTGTTCCCCAAAATTGGAGCAATTGAAAAGTAAACCCATCAGCAATTCTGTGCTGCCCTTTATGTTCATAGGAAAACCTTTACATCAAATCCTTGCAGATAGAAAAGAGGGTGTATTAGTTTCCTCTTGGGCTACAACAAATTACCACAAATTCAATGGATTAAAACAATGTACATTTATTGTCTTATAGTTCTGTAGGTCAGAAGTCCAAAACGGGCTTCCAAAATCAAGATGTCAGCATGGCTGCATTTCTTCTAGAGCCATTTTCCACATGGATATGGGTTATAGACCCTAGATCAATTCTTCTAAACTTTCAAGGAGGTACATAAACTTAGCTGACATCTGGGTTACCATTTTATCAATTATGTGACATTCTTTCCCCCCAGAACTACCTATTCATTAGTTCATTCCTTGATCACTCATTTTCAAGAAGATTGGAATTTCAAAAACATTCTGATATTAGCAAAGAAGACCCATTCCTTCTCGCTCTTTTTCCTGTCTAAACATTGCTTCTTAACCAGGTAAGCCCTCACCCCATTTGCCACAACTCCTGATTGGAGCCTCTGCTCCCATTAAAGGAACAAAGCTTCAAGGACCTCTTCAGGGACTAAAATCTATGCAGCAGGGAGTTAGTGTGCAAATTGGACCCAGTGTCTCTTCTTTCTTCTGAAACCACTGCAAGGTGAAAAGCTTACTACCAAGAAAGCACATCCAAAGTCCCTGCATAGGCTTCAAATTACAATTGCACACAGCTTGCAAATTAAAGTTCTAAAATCTTAAAAGTCTCAAAATAGGGATGAAGATGTGAAACAATAATATATAACTGCAAAGCCATACCACTGATTGTATTACTCTTTCTCAATCTGCTCTGGGAATTAAGACTGAGGATAACTCTGCTAAAACCAAAGGGCTACTAGACTGAGTGGTGTGCTGGAGTCAGTTTGGTGTTAAATTTCCAGGGAGTTGGCAAACTGATTATTATACATAACCATTATTAAAATTTTTATTATATAAATTTATAATTAAATAATATTAAAAACAAAGTCAGTAAATCCTCAAAACTCACCACTCCTAATGATTTTATTATGTTTGATATAATATGTGCTTTTGAGATTATTTACACCTATGATAGCTGTAAAGTGGAAATACTTTAATGGTATATTGCCAGACATCTCTTCCCAAGCCTACGTTCAGTGCTATCATGTTAGTAGCTTAAAATCAGCCATGGTGGGCATATTCACAGCATTGAAATATAAGTCAGGGCTTGATTTATTGTTTTGCTGACTATCGAGACTTAAGAATGTGCTGGAGAAAAAATAACGCAGATTGCACTTTAACAGCATGTTATGTCTATAATATAACTGTTTGAGAAAATAATCTTGTTATACTCTAAAACTTTTATCAAATTTGGCAAATAAGCTGTAGTCATCACTGAGAAATGAATAAAATTCCAACATACTTCTTCTGTATTACTAGTTAATGGAAATGAAAATACCAGGGAACATTCATGTCAGAACTACAGTCATTCATCAACTGAAACCACAGCGCAGGTAAGGATGAAAGGGTTTAGCAAAAACAAACAAACAAACAAACAAACACTCTGTGAAAATTAGTTCCCAATATAGAATTTTTGACAAAAATATCATATATTCTATTATTTGTAATACACGTACTTGATGTTGGTAAAATTTATAATAAACATGTATATATGTACTGTATATATCTATACCTACACATACTCTTCTTCATAGAGCTGGGAACTAAATATTTACTGTCACACCACTAGTTACTTTTTTTTTAGAAAGAGGCATTTGCCCACTAAGACAAGTTACAAAGATGAAAGTGAATAGTCTAAGGCCAGTCATTACATTTATTGTTAAAAGAGACATGAAGGTGGACCTACATATGGGTAGAGACTAGAGGCAAACTGGATAGAACCTGTATTAGAATTACTAAGAAACCTTCTGTATACAAAGCAGGCAGGGTTAAAGACTATAAGAGAATCACTTTGAATAAAATCTTTTGAAGGCCTAGTTAAGAGTGCTCTTGAGAAAACCAACTATTGTAGAAAAGGAAGCCAATGGGAACTGTACAAAGATTTTTCAGTTTTTAGTCACTAAGATGTCTCTTTTCTCTTTGGATTCTGTCACTCTTACATGCTTTGTCCTTTTGAGTTTTCTGGCTTTCCCTCCTCTCTTTGTCTTACAAAACATTTATGGACTTTATATCCTGTGAGGGCAGGGCTTGTATCTGTCTTTTTCATCTTGTTAACCCTATCACTGAGCAGAGTCATGACATGTAGGAAGTATTAACAAATATTTATTTAAATAACAAATATTTAAAAACAAAATGGAATCATGACCCTTTTTTTTACTCTTATTTCAACTAATCATGGGTGAAATTTTGTAAGAACATTATGAAAGCAAACACACCCTCACACACACACACACACATGCAAAGAGAAATAAGCAATATTCAAAAAGGTAGAGCTTACAAAATACAAGTTTACATTCTTATGGGAGGTAATAAGAATGCCTTCCAAGCACAAGGCCACTGTTCTGTTTTCATACCTTGTCTGAACCTCATCCATGTGGTGTCATCCATTGGCAGAGTCATATTGTTTTCTGACTCCTAGGAGACAATCAAAGGTAAATTTATAAATCAAAGGTAAATCAAAACCCAAGTTCATTTTTTATTCTGAGCCATCCATGGCCTCTCTGGGGCCTCCCAAGAATCCACAGCTCATTTGTAAGGTAGCAACAATAGTGTAGTGAACTTTCTTCAAGTTACCACTTTCACTTAACTTTTCATGGTTTTTATGTTCTTAGGGAAAGGGGAAGTGAATGAATGCCAGGTAGCTACTGTGAGTATCCAGGAGCAGAAAAAACTGGAGTACAGAAGATTTTCCCAGGCATCCCAACCACCAAAAACAGAGAAACCAAATAGGTTGGCAAGGTTGGGACATGAAAACATTGGAGACAAATATAAGAGGCTCTAGAGCTAGGTAGAAATTAAACAGTGAGTACAAACAATAGAGACAGAAGAAAAGCAAGAGAGGCAAGGTAATTGCCATGTTTGAAGCCATAGGCCCACCTAATATTCATGTTTTATTACCTCTGTTTGAATGATGTGGTGATAGGCTTTTTAATTTAAAGGCATGAAGTCTGATAGACACAGACTCCTCCATAACCATCTCTGTGAGTAAGTAGTCTTTAGATTTATAACTTTATGACATAAACTGAATTGAAATACATGTGGTCAACATTTTTACCAAGGCAAGAGAAAGGTTATTTCTTCATAAGATATCTCCTTAGGCTGTACAGAAGTTTTGCTTTCTTCCAAAACTGCTATTCTTCATCTAAGTATTAAGATCAAAGATCAAGGCTTAAAGTAGTAAAATTTTAAGTTTAAAGCTGGGATATAGATAGTTCGGTCATGGCAATAAATGGGTAAAAGATAAAACAACTTTGAAAACAGAATTTAGGATCAGGAGGTGGTATGAATACATGAGACACCAGCAACATATAAGAACTGAGTCTTCATAGAGTCCAATTACCAGGGGATGCATTCCAAAATGGAAATAGAATTTCAAGATAACAACAGCCTAAGGATGAGCTACAACAAATTCTATAAAGGAAAATTGAAAATTAAAAACAAAAACAAAGGCAAAACAAAAGAAAACAAACAAATAAACAAAAAAACCCCACTTTGTAACATAGTTCAAGTACTATGGGTGGATCAAGATGAATATGGAAAATTATGGAGGGATAAGATTTGTAGAAAACTGTCTCAAGACTGATTCTCCAAAGTGATTAAAAATGGGATGGGACTTCTAGTGACGTCGTAGAATACCTCAATCTCATAGGTCTTTTTTTTTTTTTTAAGATTTTATTTATTTATTTGATAGAGACAGCGAGAGAGAGAACACAAGCCGGGGGAGTGGGAGAGGGAGAATCAGGCTTTCCAGCAGAGCAGGGAGCCCGATGTGGGCTCAATCCCAGGATCCTGGGATCATGACCTGAGCTGAAGGCAGACGCTTAAGACTGATTTACCCAGGCACCCCAAATCTTGTAGGTCTTTAGCAGAAAATATATTTGCCAGAATGCTATAGAGGATATTCTTATAGTAGATGAGATACGAAATGTTATATTATTTTAGTGGCAAAACACAGAGTTCCGTTCAGTCTCACTCATGTTATAAAAATAATTGTGGCAATAAGGTAAGGAAATATTTGCCAGATATTCATGAATAGAAATTGAAATATGGCCATACCTAAGGAAAATGGAATAAAAATTAATTATGTACTTGTTGAAACTCTAGGGACCTCAGCAGCACAAGTCTGGGGATTTTAATCTCAGGTAGGCTGTTGGTAATGTGGCTAAACTCTCAGCTACCATCTCTGCCTGTTTCTCCTTCTGTCTCTTGCTTCTCTTATTTCTACCTGACTTTCTTTTCAATCCCAGTCTCTGCTTACCCATGGTTTCTGCTTCTTCATGAGTCTAACTTACTCATAACTACTAACTCATGTCTGTTATGGTCCTTCTCTAAGTTCCCGCTGCTTATAATGTGATTTGTTCCATAGCACAGAAAAGTGCACAACAGAAAGGAAAATGATTGTCTCATAAAAATTATTGTTTAATTGACCTTTTAACACTAAGCTATATCATATACCTCCAGTTAGCTTAAGGTTTGTCTACATTTGGGTCAGATCCTTACATCTGATCCCCGCAGCTTTGTTCAGAGTAGAATGAAGTCATATGGTAAAGAACACAGCAGCCCAGAGCTGGACACTCAACATACTCTGTAGACAATCTATTTTCTCTTAGGAAAGAATGGTGGACATTCTGGTTAATTCATTTAGAACAGTGGGTAGGAAGAAAATGGAAAAAAAAGAAAGTCCCTAAGGTTTATGTCAACTCTCAGTCTATAATTCTGACAGCTGGGAGTAGCTATGCAAGGAAGATATCAAATCAGAATTCTGGTGGTCTTGTTAGAAGCACCACTATTGCCTTACCTGCCATCTGGGTCATTTTGACAGCAACTAAACACTAAGAAAGTGAGGTTTTGCTCATAAATGATGGAACGCATTCCCTTTGCCCAGGGACCAAAAAAATAAAAAGACCATAATCAAGCCCAGCAGCCTGACATTTCTGTCTGGGTAATATCTCAGATAGTGTGAAGAGGGGGACAATGGGCTGGGCCTGGCACATGCTCTCACACTGAGACAGCAAGCCAGGAATATTTTTCCTAGAAAGCAACCCAGTGGGGAGCCTCTGTGAAAGAGAGAAATATAAATTATTCATTTTCTGTTCTTTGTCTACTACCCCCAGCAAGCCTGGTTCTGCAGAGGCAAACAGAGCACAGAGGAAGGTATCAGGACAAGTCTCTTGTACTATGCCCAGCTGAAGATCACTGCTTTCTAACGAGTGTGCACGCACAGCAGACTGCAAGCAGCCTGGATGGTAGCAAGCAGGGAAGACCGCCACTGGTCTGCTGACCAGCAGACCCACAAATTTGTCACGGCTCAGCATTTAATGAATGGGAAAAACACTTCAATCCTGTGGAGTTCTGTTTTATTAGCTATAAAAAGAAAGAAATCTAAGAGTATCTTCAAAGAACTGGTTCTGGAAAAGCACATTACCAACACTGGAATTCTCTCCCATCCAGCCAGACTCCCTGGCTCCTGGGTCTCTCTTTAAGTAAGAGAAAATATCATCTAGAGAACTGTAACCTTGGGAGTCTTCCCAAAAGAGCACTCTTCCCAGACCATAACACTGGAGAGAGTGAAGAAATTAACTCTTGAAGAATGACTTCTGCCTGCAGAAGGATCTGCACCAGCAATGTCATCACTGCAGAAGGGTACAAGAAGGTGTCAAACCATGAAGATAATGTCCACAGCAACACCATTAGCTATGACAGATGAAACCTATGTAAAACCCAGGTCCTGTTACCAGAGTGATCTTTTTTTCCAGTTTTCTATTCTCTTGCACTTTAGAAGTAGGACTGGAATCCTTGGAATAAATAAGTAAAATTCTTGGACAAGTTGGTGAAGAGGATCGTGCATGTTTCATTTGACAAGTCAGTTTCATTCAAGGCAGCCTCAAGTCTTCCACCTACTTTGAGACCATTGCTATAGTCCCAACACTGGCCTTCCACAGTTTCTTTCTAGCAGGTTTGGTCTCCCTCTACACCTTCCAAGGTCCCTATTCAAATAAAGTCTTGTCCAGGTAAGTACAACTGCTAACTCATATTTAGACTTCTTGCTAAACCAGCTCCAGTTGAAAAATTACCTCTGGCTATCAATACAATCTGGTTGAATAAGACAGAGGGAGGGCATGAAAGACATCTGTCTCTTAGTCATCCATATTACCAGCTAATTATGTTGCCTTTATGACCTCCATGTGTTAAATATGAAGCACTCAGTCTGAGACCCAGGAGGATCAACGATCAAATATTACCAATAGTGGGTATAAGAGTTTGACATTGTGCTGACACAACAAACCATCCTCTCTCAATTGACATGTTCAGGTAGAGCTCATCATTCATTGCCTAGCCAAACCCCACATACCAGAAATTTCTAGGTCAATAGCATTTTCAAGTCGAATATGAAATTTTCTTACAAAAAGTGTGGTGCTTGCCTGAACTTTTACACTGTCTGCTCTTCTCTTGGCACAGGGCTTACCAGACTACATCATCTTTGAATGCCTATAGACTAGATCATAAATTTTGTCATAGCTTGATCTCTTAGTAACCTGCCATCTACCTTAAGTCTGCCAGGCCATTTGTGAATTTTCTCCTAGAAAAGCTGGATTTTGCCAGTTGGGTCACCCCCAGCTATCTTTAGGAGCTTGCTTTCTCAAGTACATGCATATACCCAGATTTATGAATATCTATTTCTACAATATTTTGAAGGGGGGCTTGCTCATATTTTTCAATTGTGGTCTTAGTGGTTTGTTTTATAAAGGCCTCTGCAACCTCTAGTTCTCTTACTATTATCCTTAGAAGTGCTTCTAACATGAAATTGTAGGGAAAAAAGATGATACACTTTTTTTTAAAAAATAACATAAATTCATTTATTAAAATTAACCAAATGTAATTAAATCATACTTGTCCCACTACCTAACAGGAACATAAATATGCATTGTAGATTGTTAAATGTAATCAAATTTATTCTTTTGTTATTTTTTGGATTACAGAAAGAATAATGGAATGGCTGTGGATTTCCAATGACTGAGGAAACAAATTAGTGAGTATTTATCACAAGAGGAATAATATAGGATGAGAAAAATAGCAATAAATATTTACAAATCAATCCCTAATCCCTAATAGAAAAGCATAGAAAAGTTGTTAGTTTATTCATTCAATAAAAACTAAATACATACATACATATATATGTACATATGTGTATGTATATATATGCATATGCACATGTGTGCATCACTATTGTGTGTGATAGTACCTACCCTAGAGCTCACTGGCACTGGAGAGGACAGATAGGGAAACAAGCAACATACTAGAAGGCTCCAAGGGTCTTCCACAGAAAGAGTGGAGGCACTGAAGTGAAGAAGTTAATTTTGCCTTGGAGTGTGGGAATGGGGAAAGAAAAGGCTGTGGTATTAAAACTCCAGAGA